TGGTAACACTATTGATAAATCTTTCATTACCAGCCTGCACCTCAGCACAACGATACAAGATCCTGACAAATCTGTATGGTTTTGAGGAAGAAAGAAAAAGGAAAAAAAGAGAGAGATGTCGTTCCTTTCTTTAGTTTGAGCTAGAGAAAGAGGGTTGGTTAGCAGGCAAGAGGCAGATGAGCAAGATTATACCAGGGAGAAACAAAGAGGGTAGCAGATGGAGCCAGCAAGCTACCACAACACAGACATCCTAGCCTTCTGGGTCCCAAGCTCCCCAAGGACAGGTGGGGGCGTCTGCCCAGCTCAGTGCTTCCCACAGAGATGATGCTAGGCGAAAGCATAATCAACAGAGGACTCTGCTAAGCCGACAATTTTGCAGGCTGTTACTCAGTTTATGAACAGGGTCTCCTGAGCCCTGGAGCCCACTAGATAACCAGGGTCCCCCATTGCTCTAAACACCTGGCTCTGTGCCGCTGCTGGGGGGCACCAAGGTGAGCCAGTTAGGAGGCTTCCATTATGGAAAGAACAGGCCCTCAACCAGGGACACAGGATGCTGGTGCCACGTGCTGGGAGGACGTCCTAAATGAAGTCAGTGACGGTTAGGGCAGAAGTACAGAGGAGAGAGTGCCCAGCCCTCAGCAAGGAGGACACAGGGACCACAACCTAACATCATCTGCAAAAATGGCAGAGTAAAGGGGAGGAGAGAGGGAGGGAGGGGTGCAAAGCCAGTTCAGGCCTTTCCAACAGCTTGTACAAAGGCACTGCGTCTGGAGGAGTGTGTGGGGGTGGGGTGCGGGGGGTGGGGTCCAGGAAGCGAGGGAGCCAGCTCGGAAGAGCCCTGCATGTCTGGGTAAGGAATCTGGACTATGGCACAGGCAGGCAATGGACTCCACCAAAGGTATTTCCAGAAGGTAACTCTCTGGAAGCAGGTTGGTCAGAAGGGCCTGAGTTTAGGGCAGAAGGGATGCCGGGAGGGAATAAATTCAAGGGATATTTATGAATCAGAACTGACATGATTTGGAGAACAAACAGACACAGAAGGTGAAGGAGAAGGAAGAGCACAGGGTGACCCAGGTTTGGGGCTGAGTGCAGTGGTGTGGGAGAGCCATTCACCAAGGGACAATGGGGCAGGGAGGGGACAGAGGAAAGCTGTGCTCACTGGGTGTCTAGTTTGTGCCGGTCACTGGGCTAGGCACCATGCAGCACTATCTCACTCAACCCGGCCACAGTTGGGGAAGCTGGTGACCCAGCCTCGTTTATCTGAGCTTCCAGGGTCTTCCGTAGCTCCTCCGATGTCACCAGCTGGTAAGTGGCAGGAGGTGACATGGAGTCCAGATCTGAGGACATGTTGAGGTTTGACATGCCATGCAGGTAGAGATATTCAGGAGGCCACAGTGAACATGGTTCTCAGGCTCCAGGAGAGGACTCACCTGCAAGGAAGGGGTTTAAGATGCAAGGACAAGAGAGGCTTTAGGCTGTGAGTAGATGAGATTTCTGAAGGAATGTTCCCAAAAAGAGAGAACTCTGGGGTAGCTTCCAGAGGCCACCTCGATCACATGTCACATGGATGTTGACGGGGAGGCCTGAGAAGTATCTGCTGCTTTGGCAATTACCATCTTTCTCCTGCCAGCCTCCAGAATTCGGGACTGACCCGGGCTGTAGGACTCTTGGTTCAGTGTCTGGACACGCCCACCGGACCATCACCGCCAGGCAGACAGGGGCTTCATTTTGCTCATCGCTACTAGAGTTCCCCAGCACCTGGCACAATGCCTGGCACACAATGAGTGCTCAATAAATATTGGTTGAATACCTGGCTAAAGCCACTTCTGCACTTGCCCTCAAAAGACAAAAAGTGTAACAGGGTGCAGAGCGAGGGTCCCCTGAAAATAGGAGAAAACCCCCACAACCCTTGTTTGGGGGAAAGGGATAATAGGGCATTTAAGATCCTTTGCGTAACAATGGCAAGTTAATAGACATTACTTTCTTTAACTGAGAGGACAGCTGCCCAGGTGAAAGGTGTATTGATTCTGAGGGCATTCAGGGATTCATCATACAACCAGGGGAGCTCATACAACACCTGCTCCAGAGGCAGGGGCAGATGCCCACCCCAGAAGTCTCTGGGAACTCTTGCCTTGACTAAAGATGGCAGCCAAGTGAAGATAAAAGATACAGGGGAACTGGCAAAAATGGCATATCATTAGGGGGGCCAGGTATGAGGTCAGAGAGGAAGTTCTGGGCCAAGCATTTAAAATAAGGGTGGGCTGAGAGAGAAAGAAGAAGAAGCCACACAGTCTGAAAGGGTGTAGACAGGAGTCGTCTATAAGGTCTGGTGTGAAAGGGGAAGCCATACAGTTTAGAGTGAGAGCACACCACAAGGTCTGGAGTGAGGGAGAAAAGATGGTAGCAGAGCTGATGGAGCTGTCCTGGCACCTGCCTCACCATCCACAGGTACGCAAAGGATGCTTGGAGCTGAACTGTGACTGGGAATGCTGAGCTACTTCTGCTTCTCTGAAGGACATACAGAGAAGCCACTCTCTTGGGATGTGTGCTTCCCTGACTCCACCATGATCCGGTGTAACAAGGCACATGTTTCTCTGAACCACTACATGGAGGTTGAGGACTGCACACCCCTCAGCTGAGAAAGGCTGAGAGGGGATGGCAACCCTGAAACCCACAAGTGCACATTCCAGAGAGGACGGAGACCTGTTTGCACAGTTGGCTTAAGGACAGATAAGGACATGGGGAATTTCTGGGCATGTTTTTGGCTCACAGCCTGGTGGAGAGCAAGGGAAATGTTGGGTCTCATGGCAGAGGAGAGCTCTGACCAGGAGTGCTCTCAGTCCCGTTGAGGTTGGAATCCTACAAATAAAAACCTGTTTCCTTCAACACTTATTGTTGGATCATGTATCAAGGCACCACATGGCCAAGCCCCAGTTTGCTCGGTTACAAAAGCACTGCTCCTGCCTCCTCCCCATGCTCAGCAAAGTCAAAGACAACAGGCTCTCTGTGGCCCCAGGAGATCAGCGGGCAGGGGTGCTGTGGCAGCATTGCTGACCGGTCTTAGAGGCCGCATGTGACCTTGAGCCATCTTCATTTTTGCTTGGCTAAGCACCAAGTCATTTACTTGTTTTTGCTGCCTTTCAGCCCTGGGGCTGTGGGTTTAGCACAAAGGAAGATGTGATTTTGTTTTGTTTGCAGAGCATCAATTTTCCCTAAACAAGAATTTAATTGGTAGTCTACACTGCAGGGTGTAGGGCCTGCAAGGAAAGGAACACCCTCAGTGGGGGTTCCTGAGTCAATGCCCGGGTCTCTCTAAACCTTTGAAAAATGTTTTCCCTATGAACACTAGCAGCCAGAGAAAGTGCACAGACTGAATGTCAGGAGGCTGGGCAAGTCCCAATTGAGGCACTAGCTGGCCATGTGGCTCTGGGCAAGTCACTCACCATGTTGTCACTTACTGTGTACCCTTCCTAGGCATATCTCCTCACCTGCAAAATGTGGAGATGGCCTCAGCTTCCCTCCAGTGCCACAGGGAGGGTTGGGGGAGGGGGACACTTACAAGCAGAGACTGTCTTCCAGACCCATGACAGCCTCCCAGAATGTGTGTCCCTAAAGCAGGACCCAGTACCTACAGTGGCACCTCAATCAGAATCCCTCTTGTTCCAGCCCTGGTGACACTGGCTGGGCAGCAGCTAAGACAGAGGTTTGGAGCACAGACTTTGGGGTTCTAAAGACCTGGGTGCAGTTTCCTCCACTGGGCGCCTGACCATGGGCAAGTCACTGAATCTCTCGGAGCCTCGGTCTCCTCACCTTTCCAATGGGAGTCTTCCTCCTGTGGGGGTCCTGTGACAACTACAGGAGATAATGCAAAGAAAGTGCTCAGGCTTGGGCCTTAGAATGAGAGCACGGCAAATCTTAGCTTTTACAATCACACATATTTATGGCTTAGACCCATACATCATGAATGCTTCACAAAAAATTAGAGATTATAGAGACCCTAGAGCTCTCTGGTTGTAGATGCGGAAGCTGAGACTCTAAAGGAGAGGAAGAGACTTGCCCTAAGACCTGTGGGCAGAAATTGGACCATGAGCCATGAAACCCAGCACCTACAAGGGCCTTGGGCGGGCAGACACCAGCCCTCCACACCCTCAGTTGTGAGAACCCTGACATGTGACTCTCCAAGGCTCCCGCTTCCACACACTGGAACGTGCTTCTGGTGGAGGGCCTGTCCACAGCAGGCACTCAGTAGAGTCTCAGGCATGACTTGACCCAGGTCACCTCCCGGTTCTAGGCCTGTTTCCTTAAGTGGGACAAATAGTCTTTAAGAGCCTTCTAGTTCTGTCATTCCACGGTTTCAAGAACTGGGCTCAATTAACCACAAACAAGTGGCTGGAAACCTCAGTTAACCAGACTCTTTCCCAAAAGCTCCTTCCTTGAGAGACACAGGCAAAACCTAAGAAAGTGTGGCCACGCACTGTCCTTCTGCAGTTTTCCCCCACTTACCAAGAACTTGGGCCTACCTTGCTTCCTTGGCTCCTTCCCTGCTGTGCAGAAAAGCAGACTGAGGCTCAGGGCAGCCTGAAGTTTTTTCCCAGTCGGGACTAAAGCTTAAAACAAAGGTGGAAGGTCAGCATCTAGAACAGCATTGTGCACAGAGCACATGCTTTATAACAACCCCAGAAAGCACCTGCGTTCTCCTCTCTCTCGTTGGCTAAGCCTATGGCTCTGCCTGTAGAATGAGGGGATCAGATGAAGGGTCCTGCTCCCTGCTGTGCTCTCACAGTTTATCCTCCGAGCACCCAGCACGTGAGGCTGGAATTTGCTCCTGGTCGGCCCTCCAGCCCCAGAAGACTGAGATGCCGCCTATAACAGCATGCCTCGAACATACAGTGGGTTTGGTTCCAGACCACTGCAATTAAGTGAGTCGGAATATTTGCACTGGTGGAGGGTCTTGTCTTCGATTTGTTAAAAAAAAAAAATCTGTGAAGGGCAATGAAACGAGATGTATTCATCTTTGTCATCCTGGACAAGCCTGACCCCAGATCAAAGCAGAACAAGCTATAGAAATGATTACAGGAGGGTGGGAAGAAAGGAGGGAGGAAAGGAGGAAGGAAGGAACAGAGGAAGGGAAGAAGGAAGGGAGCTGGAGTCCCCCCAGGACTAACATTCTATGATCCCACAAAGCTAAGTTCTAAGGCAATGAACCAATGATGTCTATGAGGCACAGCCGCATCAATGGTGGAAACACCATAGGGGAAGCAAGAGAAATGAATTTTAGATGTGAAATGGCATGTTAACCCCTTTCAGCCTTGACACAGCTAACTTCCCAAAGTGCAGGCCCTGTGGGCCCATGTGTGTGTGAAGGCTGCCAGGCTGTGCCAAGTGGGAAGTCCCGCCTGCGTAGTAGGTCCATTGGTGATGCTGGTGTCAGAGGCCATGACGCGCTTCCGGCGACTAAGCTCACCAGTTACTTGGTTCAGCCCGGAGCCTTACAGCTCCTTTTCAGGAACAGGATATAGCAGGATTCTGCAGGATTCAGGAACATAAATAGGAACAGGTCTTATAAATAACTCCTGGTTAAAACAGAGCTGAAAATAAGGAGGCAGAAGAGGAAGCAAATCACTGAGCACTTATGAGTCGATAACATTGGCTTGAGAACCTTAGTGCAAATGGCTGGTCTGGTTTATTTCCTTCTCATCAAAAGATCAAACTCAGGATTGAACCTGGAGGCACCAAGACTGTGTGTTTGTGTGTGTCTGAGGATGTGTTTGGAATGGTGTGGCTCTCCTCAACTGACAGTGCCTTGCATTAGCTCTCATGGTGTCACTTAAAGGACTCAGATGGTGTAACCTTGGCTGGTAAGTCTCTGGACTTCTCTGAGCCACTCTGTCTTCCCAGGAAGTTCTGGTGGCTGGGTTGGCCTCTGAGCTCTGAGATCCTAGACAGCAAATCAGGGCTGAGGCCTTGGAATAAAACTCAGGAACCCCAATGTCTGAATTAAATCTTGCCCTTGTCCACATGTCCCATCCTCAGTATCCCTGTTTTCCACTCTCTGTAGGGTCTTCCTTTAGCTGTGACAAGGCCACTATAGTTTGTGCTGTCTTTCTTCAATGCTAAAATTGAGTGGAAATGTGCTTTATTCACTTGCAGTCCCCAGGGCCCAGATCTTGAGGAGTGACCTAGCAGCATGCTACCATATGCAGGGCAGAGACACAGGGCCCAGACTGAGGCCCAGGGCGCCTAACACAGAGCTGATTCTGTCTGGAAGCCCATCCCTGACTCCAGGCTGGCAGGTCCCAAGCATGAAGCTGAACTACCAAGGGGGTGACAGCTTTTCAGCCAGGTCTTCACATTGCTCTGCCTGGCACAGGAGGGAAAGAAGGAGCCAGGTTCTGGGGACCGGGCAGGGCCAGGCCAGGCTGGGCAGCCAGCATGCCCTCAACAGCAGCTGCAGGTGCCTGTGTGCACACGGAGGATGCCACGGCTGTGCAGGTGCAGGAAGTTGAAGATCTCAGAGGGCATGGCGTGAAAGCCCGGACGGGGCTTGACGTTGTCATAATAGTGGTGAGTGATGTAGAGGCCCGAAGGGTTCATGGGGAAGGCCCAGAAGCCGAAGAGGTGCACCTCCTCACACAGCTCCAATGCCGCCGTGACCAGGATGAGGCCTGTGCTGATGCGCTTGGCCCGCACGCCCAGGCTGAGCCAGTAGCGCGACACGTTGACCAGGTACTGTGGGTGGAAGTAGTAGACGGCCTGCGGCGACTGGAAGTCGTCCAGCACGTACTTGACGCGGATGGACACGTCGGTGTTGCGCGTGTTGTAGAAAGCAGGCAGCAGCACGGACGCGTTCTCGTACACCTGCAGCACACGGTAGAAGGGCCGCCGCCACTTCTCCAGCTTGTGGAACCTGGGCAGGGGACGCAGGGGGAGAGCATCGGCCACTCACTCCTGGCCCCAGGGGCCCAGCACCCTTGCTTCCCCACCCCTGCACTCTGGGGTCTTTTCCAAGGACGCAGGGGTCTTGCGGGCCATCCCTGTCTCCTTTCATCTCAGTCACCTCAGCAGATCAATGTCCAGCCTTCCCTAGAGACCATTATATTTTTGTAAGCAGTGCAGGAGAAGACAGTCTGGACCCAAAGGGACAAATATCTAGTGTGTGGCTGCAAGGGAAGGACTATGCTTAACTCATATGGATGAGGCTGGCCTGGGTGAGCTCAGCCAGAAATGGTGAGGGAGCCAAGGCTCGCCCTCCAGCCCTCAGGGAGTTCGCCTGTACCGCCTTCCCTAAGGTTTCCAATGGACATCAGACTGGCTGCCTGTCCCGTCAGCCTCCGCCCCAGCCCCAGCCCCCTGCAGCCCCTCACTCACCTCCCCTTTGCATCAGACAGCCTCGGGGTTGGCTCATCTCACACCTGTCTAACGCTCCTTCCCTCTGCTGGCTGTCATGTCCCTGGGCCATTGACCCAATTTAACAACTCCCCCTCCTCTTACCCTTCATCTGACCTGGGTGGTGTGACTATGCCCAGGTTGGAGTTTTAACACATTAACCCACTCCCCTGAGGCCTCCTAGACAGATAGATCCCAGGAGGGCACCAGGTAGGGACCTGAGATCTTTGCATGAGGCTTCTCCCCAGTGTTGCCTGGACACACGGCATAGGGAGCCACCCTCCCTGTCACAGCCTGGAAGCTCTCTGACTCATCACTAGGTGAAGGCAGTCTAGACCAGCGCTGTCCAAAAGAAATATAATGCAGGCCACATACACAATGTTGAATATTCTCGTAAGAGCATCTAAGTAGAAAAGTGGGTGTGATTAATTTTTATAATATATTTTATTTAACCTGATATACTCAAAATGCTATCATTTCAACATATGCTCAATGTAAAAATTTCACGAGACATGATCCACCCTCTTTTTCATATTACATCTTGGAAATCAGGTGTTGTTTTATAATCACAGACGGCACTACTCAGTCTAGTCCAGCCATGTTTCAGTGCCCAGTTGCTACATGTGACTAGTGGCTACCATAGAGGGCAGCACAGGTCTAGAAAGAGGGCCACTGACCTCTCTGTAATGATGCTGGGGTTCACAGTGACCACATCCGTCTTCACCCCCACGTCCATGGTGTACTTCTCTGAGATGGGGGGTAGGTTGCACCTGCAGGAGAGACGGGGCAGCCCGACGGCATGTGGTCAGTCATTCCAGGCGGAGCTGGGAGTGGGCAAGGGCAAGGGGAAGGGAGGGCAAGCGCATGGGAGGAGGACTCAGAGGCAGCCAGCTGGGTGGGATCTGTGCGGCCTGGGCATGGACGGGCCAATTCAACCCCTTCCCCACCAACCCTGGACAGTCCACTAACTATGAATCTACACCCCGTGAGAGCCCACTGTTGCCTTACCCCAAGTCTCTTTGCTTTAAGCTCTTACTTTCAATCCATCTTCTTTATCCAGACTAAAGACATAAGGGAGGATCCCCAGAGGTAAAGGGGGCTCTACATAAGGAAAAAGAAATACAAGGACCCATCCCTAGCTTAGGCAAAGCCAGGGCAAAGTACAAATTGGTATCAGCTACAAGGCTACCCTGGTTCCAAGCGCCATCTCTGGAAGAGTAGAGCCATCTGCACAGGGCCCCAGTGAGACCTCAGTGTCTTCCCCTCTGATATGGCTACTTGCTCCCGTTCTGCAGGGGTGGAGGCTGAGGACCTGAGGGGTTCAACCATGTGCCCAAAGGGACAGCGCTGGAGAGGAGAAAGGACAACCCAGAGCATGAGGCTCTGCAAGGATGAGGAGTGGGGGATTAATCATGTAAAGAGCATCACTGAGGGGGTGGCGCACACAAGGGGAAGGGCACAGAGGCAGAGGGCTGTGGGGGCAGAAGCAGCAGGCGCAGACCAGAGCGATTCTTTTACCGGAAGACAAAGTCGGCGCTGTCGATCTCCCTGCCGCAGCGGCTGTTCTTTAGGATGCCTCCGTTGCCCACCACGGCACACTTCTTAAACTGGGACCGGTTGTAGGGCATGTCCTGGGGAGACAGGGGCACAGCCTTCAGCGGCTGCTCTCAACTCCGTACCCACATCCGCCTCCACTCCTCGTGGCCCCACACATCAGCCTTGTAGGGCACGTGGTTATTCCACTTTGCAGTTGAGGAAAGGGACCAAAAGACTTGTTCTCACTTCTACAGACAATTAAGCTGGGACCAGAAGCCATGTCTCCACAGCCCTTTTCAATAAGCCCTGGGATGCTCTAGGTTTCCAGAGTGAAGAGCGGACAGCTTATGGCAAGCCCTGCTTGCCTTTGGTTTTCCCCACGTCTGGAAGCTCAGCTTTCTGTATGGCCGCCAGTGTACCTACCTGAATGATGAATGCGGATATTCTGGAGATGACGGCCGCAGAAATAAGGGCGGGACCACCCTGGGACCAGAGCCCTAAACCTCACCTCTTTCAGCTCAGGGCAAGGTGCAGACCCTCCCTCCACTAGACAAGGAGGACACAGACCTGGGGCAGAAAGGCCATATGGACTGGGGCAGGTGCCAGGACTTGGCAGCAGCGGGGACAAAAAACTGGGGGTGAGCAAGCAAGGCCACGTCAGGGGAACAGTAAGAGGCCGGGATACCCCTGGTCTCTGCAAAGAAAGAGCTCTGAGCACAGGGGAGCCTAGGACTTTCCCTGAGTAATGACGACACTCACAGGCACACTGTGGGTGAGCACCTCACAGCGCTTTGACCTTGTCACGCGTCACCTGGAGGGGTCACCTTGGTCTGGGCACTGGCCAGCCACAAAGGCTCCCTGGAGCTGCTTTCCAGGGGACCACAGGCAAATTGGCAGGAAAAAGCAAATATTGGCCTGAGACTTAGGAGACCTGCTCTGTCATGGCCCAACTCAAGGCTACAATTCCCTCATGGACCACCTGATGCAGTGTCACTGGACAGTTCAGGAGCACAGACCTGGAGTCAAGGGTAGGATGACCAAACATCCCAGTTGCCCAGGACTGGCAGACTTTGCTTGGATGCAGGACTTCCATTTGGCCAAACCAGGAAAGTCTGGGCAAACCAGGACTGGGTATCCCGGTCATCAGCCCCAAGTTCAATCTTGGTTTTGCCCCATACTGAAGTGAGAACAACATAGGTAAGTTTTTTGAGCTCTCAGCAACGTGGTTTTGTAAATCTTATGAAACTTTTTCCAAATTAAAATGTGTGATTTGTGCAATTAGAATGGTCATGTGTGTTTCCTGCGATTCATTGAGATAATGTATAGCAGAGTTTCTCAGCTTGGCCCTACTGACATTCCTTGTTGCTGGGGCTGCCTTGTGTACTAGATGCCAAGAGTTCCCCACAGTCATGACAACCAAAAACATCTCCAGGCATTGCCAAATGTCCCCAAACCGTCCCCCTGTGGAGAACCACAGGTGTCAATGTAATGTAAAGCCTACATAGTGCAGGGCTCAGCCCACAGGCATCTCGGCAAGGGGACCAGGTTGTTATTATTGGATGGCCCTGAAGGCCCCTTCCGTCTCTGACACCAGGAGGCTGCGGGGCAGCTGTCCTCCCGGCACACGCCAGCTGGCCGGCCTGCAGGAGCGCGGCCCCGTCAGCACGTTGGGCTTCCGTTGGGACTGACTTCTAGGCGGGCGTCATGGAAAATCACACTACAACAGGATCGTTGGGAATGAGGCTGAGCCTAAAGGAGAAGTGGCATCATCTGTGGGGGACTGTCCCTCCTCGTGGCCCATCTTCCTCAGAGGGATGGGCCCAGGGGGCCAAGGTGGGGAAACAAGGGTGTCTCATGACCAGTGTGGGAAACTGCACTGCTTGATTTTTATCAGAGAAATGGAAGAAACAAAATCATCTTTGGAGAGACCCTCAAAGGCTTTTTATGTTCTATGTCAGTGTTTCCAAAACTGTAAATCAAAACCTACATGGGAAGACTTTCTGAAAATATGAGGGTCTGGGCCACAGGACCACAGAATCAGAATCTTCAGGGTGGGGATAGGAGACTGAGAAGCTCTGCTTTTTACAAACTCAAAGAGATACATACTTTCAGAGAAGTTTGTGAAATACTTGTGTTGTATGTTTATCTCAGGGACCTTCAAACTATGGCCCCACAAACATCTGATCTATCACCTACTTCTGCATAGCCTGAAAGCTAAGAATGGATTTTATATTCTGTGATGGTTGGGGGAAAATCTAAAGAACAATATTTTGTGATATGTAAAAATCATATAAACAATCTCGTGTCTAAGATGAACATAGTGCCTGAGTGTTACTGGAACTCGGCCACACTCATTTGTTTACTCACGTCCATGGCTGCTTCATGCAAGAACAATAAAGACCAGCTGGCCTGCAGGGCCTAAAATATTTAATTTCTGACCCCTTTCAAAGAACATTTGTCAATTCCTTCTCTAATCCCCTAGGCCTCAGTGCTCCATACCCATGGCCTTCCTGGGCCCCGATGGGTACCACCCACTGGCATTACCTGCCTGAGACGCAAGCTCACCTGCTGTCAACTTCATGCCCCAGGCCTTGCAAGACCCACCTCGTCAAGATGGCTCACACCCCATCATCCTCCAGCACTGTGACGTGGGAGGGTATATTTGACACCTTCAGCCCCTCCTGGTGCCCCCGCAATGCCCTTCTTACCAGTACACTCTGCTGCGAATAACAGAATGCAGAGTGACCCAGGGCTGTGTTTCATTGGCGCTCCCCCGAGTAATGGGGCAGCCCAGGCCCTCAGGTTTCATCCAGGAAGACCTGAGCACACCCCCAATCAGCGTTTCTGCAAATTGGACTCGCAATGTCCTTCCTTGAGCCCCACACTCTCCAGGAGGTGGTAATGAACATGTCCCACGGAACCTTCTCCTCCTTCAATGGCGACGATCAGAATCAGCTGAAAATGCAGCCTCAGAGGTCCGTTCTCTGAGGGTCCAATGCAGCAATCAGGCCAGAGTGAGTGCACGGACCTAAGCCTCAGGAATCTGAGCAGTTCGCTCACACGGATCGCTCACTGTGAGGTCCCCGGGACCAGGGAGCCTCCGCGCGGGCCCTGCATGGGCCACTGCCTCCAGATTTCTTTAATGTGGAAGGAAAAAACAATGCCTATTTTCTTTAAGTCTCTGATATTTTAGATTTCCCCTTATAAGCAGCGAAACCTATTGCTAATCCAAACCCCAGAGTTGCAGACAGGCAGACTGAGGCTTTGAAAAACAAGGTGACCACCTAAGGTTATCCAATACCTGACGAATCTTTCAGTGCCTCGCTTTGTATTGGTTGGTGATTTCTTGGGCACATACAACATTTTCATGGATGTTTTTGCCCTGTGCCTCCCTCAGGTGGAGGACAAGTGCACATCATCCTCCCAGATATCCTCAGGATGTCTTCTACAAGCAATGCAACAACTAAAATTTTACAGCTACTTTCTTGCCAAAAGTCACCCAGATAATAGCCAGCTGGCATTCATTGTGCCAGACAGAAGCCCCAGGAACCCCAGGAGACATTCTACTGAGCCCAAGAGAAGGGCCAACTGGGGCCAGGACAACTGGGGGCAGCAGGCGCAGCAGAGTAGTGCCAAACCACAAGGACATGGCCACAGAGGGCCAGGCTGGACTGGCTCCATCCCCCGCACCCAGACCATCCCGCCCAAAGCAGCACCTTGGGAAACATGCGAAAGATCTCCTGGTTGATGTGGTAGATGCCGCTGGTGTCCACCTCGTACTTGAGCTTTGTCCCCAGGGGGGTGTTCTTCTGGGTGGTGAAGAGGAAGGCCGGGGCATTGCAGCACCTGGACAGAGTGGACCTGCCAGATGGGAGACAGACGGGAGCGACTGAAGACAACGGGACAAAGCAGAGCCTCTCGAAGAACAGAGGGGCTGTGGAACTGAGGCCCCTCAGGGAGAGCAAGGAGCACCATTTTCTACTGCATACCGCCTTCTACCCCACACCTCTGTTCATGTTGTCCCCTCCCCTTTTGATCCTCCTCCCAGTGCCTGGGCCTTTCAGGTTGCAGCCAGGTTCCTCTCCTTTGCCCTGTCCCCACAGACCCGACTGACCTCCAAAGGTCCCACCTGTTTCATCGTCTGCCAACTCCCTCCGCACTTGAACGAAAGGCCCTTGATGGCAGGGACCCCACCTCTCCAGACCCTGCATAATGCCAGTCACACAGGTGTTTGACAACCAGGTGCCTGCCAATTGCAGGACAAATCGTTCCTCATTTGAGCTTTCATCAAGATCCGCTAAGCATTCTACTACTTCCTGGAAACATGCCAATGGGAAGGGGAAATGAGCCCTAATGGAAACCCAGGGATGCAGGTCTCTCCCTTAGGTTCCTGGCCCCACACCAGACGCTAGACAAGGTGCGCACCCTGTACAATGCGGTCAGAAGGCCAGGGCACACACGCTCAACAGAAATGGGCTATTTTAAGAAACCTTTTTAGGAACAGGGGAGGGTCAGAAATTTGGGATGGTGGGTTGATACTGGATGACTTCCTGGCTACGAAAAGAAGTTTTCAGAAATTTATTGTTTAATTAAAAAAACAAAAACAAAAACAAAAACAAAACCCTGTGGTTTTCACTCACAAAAACACTCCTCTAGGAGCTCCCAGAAAGGTTAAAGCTGAGAGGATGCAAGAAGGCTTAAAACACTCTCCAAGGGAGACTGTGGCTGACAAGGCCACCTTGGGAGTCAGCCAGGACAGAGGAGCCTGGTTCTCTCCTCCCTGCAGCTGGCACGCCACTGGCAGTGCGTTCTCCCAGGCCTGCTGGCGAGGCTCACGGGTGGGCTCAGACCCTGGACACAGCTCGCTCCCTCGACCTGGCTGCAGAGGGTCTGGGCTTGACAAAGGATGCAGATTGCTGCCTACTCGTGCTGGGTGGGGACTTTGGGCCCACGAGGACACAGTTTCTCCTAAAACAGCGGTGGGGGACTGCGTACACCCTGGCCTTCTTCCTCTGATACTGGATCCAGGCACGGTCACATCCAGTGTCCACGCACTGGAAGGGACACCTTTTCCATGGAGCCCAGGTGATTAACTAAAATTGACGGAGAGCTGTCTGGAAAGTTCACACCCACAGTCCTGGATGGAAACTTGGCTTGCCGACCAGGTGTCGAGAAGCCTGGGTTCTAGTTTCTGCTCTGTCCCCACCAGCTGTGGGGCTTTGGGCACGTCTCTCCCCCTTGCTGGGCCTCAGTTTCTTCATCTGGAGAATGCAGAGCCAGCTCTTCTGACCCTCTGTAACTCTGTGACTGCAGGCTGTCGGAGCCAGGAAGGTTATACAAATATATTTTTATGACTTGATCTCTTGCGTGGACTTCACTGGGGAGCTCAGCTGACTACTGGTTATGGAGAGCATCCTTTCCTGTAGAGGGCTGGGCTTCAGAATGTGGCTGAGGCTTCCCCAAGGGAAGGCCAGAGGCCTAGCCAGGTAGGGGCCTTTGGTCAGCATGACAACCCAGCCTCTGGCCTGGTTCATGACAAACCAGCCTCTGGCCTGGTTTATCTTTGCTGGTCCAGAAACGTAATCTTGTCAGCCCACTAGGGAGTATCCCATTGCAAGAGACTGACTCATACTAACCAAACTCACAAGTGACTGATACAGACACCAGAATGCCAATGGGTCTACTTTGACAGGACTCCGTTGCTGTACTAGGATGCTCACGCCTGTCTTCTTGCACACCCTCCCGAGCCCCCCGTACTTCACTGCGCCAGGCTCCTGTGAACCTGATTTAAGAATCTCGTTATTGTTCCATGAGCTTGTAATAAGAGCATAGGGAAGTAATGACTAGCTTGAAGGGTTTTCCTTTTAGAACAGGGCCAGACCTGTTGTCACCTCCCTCTCCCACACCTGAAACCACTCCCCCGCCCCCACCCAGAAGGGTCTCAGTTTCCCAGAACCTCTCCCCTGCAGGCTGCTGGCTGAGCCGTGCCAAAGGATCCTATGCTTCTTTCTGTTTTTCTCCTGCCAATTATCTTCCTGTTGCTTATTATTATTTCCTTAGGTATGTGAATCCCGCGGATGAGGCTTCTGGCCACTCTCAGCTGGACAGCACGCTTCTGCATCTCACTGGCCTCGTCTTGCCACTCCGCCTTGCCACTCCCTTGGCGCTCTCAGGCCTCACCCACGGGCAGCGGCAGCGGAGGGAGGGGGCACTGAATCTGCCTGCGCAGTCCCCACAGTAACACCTTCTAAGGGGTGGATTTGGAACAGCACTTGGAGCCCAGACCTTGGACCTGATCCCCTCTCTTCCTCTACTTGGCTCAAGTTCACGTTCTACTCCTACCACAGGTGGGTCTCTGCAAACTACTCTCAGGCCTTACCTGGGTTCCACAGTCTCACAGAGGCCCCTGGTTCAGGGCTGTGGGTGCCTGCTCTTCAAGGGTGATCACTTTAAATGACCACATTTCTAAAAACGTGCCGCCTCAAACTCAGCCTCTAGATGGCCTGGAATTACAGCACACTGGAACAAATGTCTTATAAAGAAAATACAAATAACTTAGTGTTATTTGCTTTTCCCAGCCTCCCAGGTAGGGTTCCTCCATGCTAACGACTCCTCAGTATCTTTAAACTATGACCTGAGTTGCCAAAATCCTGCTTATACCCACATTTCCACGGTCCTATCAAGTCTATTTAGTAAGTTCTACCCACACTAAAGTAATACCGTAGACTCAGATTTTAGAGGTGCCAAGGATTCCTATAGTTAACCATCAGTCAAAACAAGCGTACAAACTTTGCTAGCTGCTTAGCTCTCAAAGATGGGAGCATTTTAAAACACAGCTCTTGTCTCTCTGGGAGCTTATGATCTGGCAGTTTGGTTAGACAGCAATGGGAAAAGAATCTGCAGCAGCACCCACATGTCCAGTATCAGTTGCAAGAACCCACGAGCTCGAAGAAGGGTGGGGCTGCTGAGCTGGAGCAGCTGCCCCAGGGGGGCGGGGGGAGACAGGGTGAGAGCAGAGAAGGCGCGCAATGCGCCTTAACACACAGCCTGCTGGAGACCTCCTGCAAATCGCTTCACTTTCATGAGTCTCAGCGAACCCCAGCTTTACTGGCGATGACACCACGGACCTTGCAGGGATGCTGCAGAGGCGAGAAAGTGGAGGGCGCACCCAACAGGTGCCCGCCTCTGCCTATGTGCTGAGTCAGTACCTCCCTGTTGCCCAGACTCCAAAGCCCTGTCAGGGCCAGCTCCAGGGAGGTGCCCCTGGGGCTGGGCCTTGCAGGACAAAGAGGTTCCGAAGAGGTGGCAGGAACAGAACCCCCAGGGCAGGACAGACGAGTCATATGTACTTGAACTGGTTGGCTTCGGAGATGTTCATCGCCCATTTGCACATCTGCAGGCTTCTCCACCTGTCGAACAACTCCGACTGCTTCACCCTTGGAGAATGGAGGACAGAAGAGTCCATGAAAAGGGCCAGGCTGGACAAAGCATCGTCATTCCCAAACGTGCTCCTTCCTGCCGCCCCACCTGCCAAATCCTGGGCTCGCCCAGTATATTAACTGTATTTTCTTATCTTCTGTATTGTTAATGCCCTGGCACCGCAGGCCTTGCTAATTCCTGGAGATGGCAAACAACGCTCCTGCAGGTGCACTTTTAGTCGGCACGCCAGCCAAGCCAGAGCTCAGGCCTGCAACCGCCTCCTTTATCAACCCAGCCACCAGTTTCCTGTCCTAATCATCCCAAGGCCAGATATCAGCCCCCTGGGGGCAGTCCCTACACCACAGCGCCCACCAAAATTATTCAAACTAGCCAGTCCTAAACCTGCCTACCCCACCTTGCCCATTCCTTTCTGTGAGAACCACAGTGAAGGTTGTTACCCTGGTTTTCCCTCCCCGCTTCTGCCTCCACCCCACGCTGGGGCTTCTCCGTGCGGCCCTGCCAGCGGCGCCTCCTTTCTAGGGACCTGGGAATATAAGACTTCTTCCTTCATGATATCAGTTCCTTTTTCTTTTAAAGGTTTTATATATTTATTTATTTAGAAAGAGGGGGAGGAAGGGAGAGAAATATCAATGTGAGAGAGAAATATCGATTGGTTGCCTCTGATACACGTCCCAAATGGGGACCAAACAGGCAACCCAGGCATGTGCCCTGACTGGGAATCAAACTGGCAACCTTTCAGTTTACAGGGGGACGCTCCAACCAACTAAGCCACACTGGCCAGGACCCAATGTCATTTCTGTGTGTGTATCTTACCATATCTGATTAAAACAAACCAGGGTACATTTTATTTTATGCTTAATTTTTTAAATTGATTCCAGAGAGAGAGAGGGAAAGGAGAAAAGAGAGAGAAACAATTGTTTTGTTATTCCACTATTTTATGCATTCATTGGTTGATTCTGACCAGGTATTGAACCTGTAACCTTGGCATATAAGGATGACGCTCCAACCAACCGAGCTACCCACCCAGGGCTCCAGGGTGCATGTCCCTGCCCTGATGTCCAGGGACATCTGTCTATAAAGGGCAAGGTACTGTTTCCCTAAGGGAATGTCTGGACGCCACTCACACTGTGCTATCACACGTAGGGCTCATGACAGGGCATTCCCTTCTCTTTCTCCCTCCCAAGGGCCGATCACAATCTCCGGATGACACAAAGGAAGAGGTGAGAAACAGGAGTGGTATTCCTTCTGTCTGAACAACCATCTGCAAGGCTTTAACTCATTGGTTTTTAAGCATCTCAGCTTGTGATATGCTAAAGCCCTCTCTGGAAAGGGAATGTCTAAATCACGTAGGGTTCTCCCTCTGACCGAAAGCACCAAAGAGCATTAAATCATGGAACCCTATTTCTACTGAGCAGTGCATCAGACTGGAGTTTCCCTGGTATAAGAAAAAACACAATAAAAAAATACTATAATTAATGAAAGGCAAATACTCACTTAGCTGTAAGACTAAACAAACAAACAGGTTCATTCTACAGAGCTGTTACCCTTTATTTAATTGCAGGGGAAATAGTTGTTCCCAAATAGGGCAAGCGCTCACCGACAGAGGGAATACAGGGCGGGTGGGGGAGGGGTGATTGCTGGGATATGGGGAGAGTCACATAGGATAGCAACAAAGTACATGAATTTGGGACGCAGAGGGGGCCTCGGGCCTCCGAACCAGTTCAGATACCTTCTAACTATGGGATGTGTTTGGAACTGTAAAGAGTTGAAGGAGCCCCTCCCCTCATCCTGACCCTTCCTTCTGGCTTTCCTGAACCTCCCACAGCAGCTCACGTGACATCAGAGGAGACGTGCCATTATACAGCTGCACCCTGCCTCACACACTGCTTCCCTCCCCCACTTCCTGCAACCCACAGGCCCCAGAGCAGCCCTCTATTTTTTGCCAGTACCTCAGACACAGCTGCAGCCACACTGCAGGCCAGGGTCCCAAGTTCAATTGTTACCAATGTCCGAGCCCCATTCTCTGTGCCTCCAATGCCTTTGTCACACACTGGACCAAGATCGGGGCCTGAACACCAAGCCTGGAATCTGCGCCTCATCCCCAACTTGCAATGTGACCTCAGATAAGTCATTTAACCCCTCTGAGGCTCAGCTACTTTATCTGTAAGATGGACACAGTAAACTCTGCCCTGCCCACCTCAAAGGTTGTCAGAAAGATCCAATGAGATAATGCTTGTGAAAATACTTTATAAATTGCTTTATAGATCATCTCGAAAGAGGAAGGGTGGATCCCAGGCACGTATCTCCTTTCTCCCAAGGTACCGACCACTAACACCCTAAAAGAATAAAAAGGGTATAAGCCTGTCGGACAAATAAAATCAATGGGGTGGAGGGGGTCTCAGTAGAAGAGATTTCAACAAGTGTGTGGAAGGAAGAGGGGCGACAGAAGGAGGAACAGCACAGCCCAGAGTCAGAGCCCATTTGCACAGAGAATGTGAAAGGGGGTGGAAGGGGGGGAGGACAAAGTGTTAAAATGCGGATCAGTTGGGAGTCCGTATCCGGAACTATCAAGTCCACCCCTACAGCAGCCAAATACTGAATGTCCAGCAGAGGAGGGACGAAGGATTGAATCATACTGTCAGTTTCTGCTTTTAAAGCAACCATTCCCAGTGAAAAGATCTGGATGTTCTAACAGCAAAAGGGCGGGCAGCAATCTGGAACACCTACCCCTCACGGAAGCCTGCTTGCAGACTCCGAGCTCCTGTCAGCTTTGCATTATGTAAATGAGTAAGTAACCACGGGCCACCTGGTCAACCTGAAGGAAACAGACCAAGCTAAACCATCTGATGAAATGACCAGATAATTTATTTCAAAGAAATCCAAAACATTAATTTGAAAAGACATATGCAGCCCGATGTTCATTGCAGCATTATTTACAACAGCCGAGATATGGAAGCGACCTAGGAGTCCATCCACAGACAAATGCATAGAGTAATGTGGTACACATATACAATGAGATATAACCCAGCCATAAAAAAGAGTGAAATCTCACCATTTGCAACAACATATATAGACCTTGAGGTTATTATGCTAAGTGAAATAAGTCAGTCAGAGAAAGGCAAATACCACAGGATTTCACTTTATGTGGAGTCTAAAATACAAAATAAATGAAAAAACAAAACAGAAACTCATAGAAAGAGAGAACAAATTGGTGGTACACAGATGGGAGGGGGGTTGGGAGAATGGGTTAAAAAGTAAAAAGGATTAAGGGGTAACAATTGCCAGTTATTAAAATAGTCACAAGGATGTAAAGTATAACTTAGGGAATAGAGTCAGTAACAGTGTAATAACTATGTAAGGTGTCATATGGGTATCACAATTATGACAGATGGGTACTAGACTTACTGGAGTTATAATTTCATAGTCTGTAAATATCTAATCACTACATTCAACACCTGAAACTAACATAATACTGTATGTCAACTATAATTGAAAAATAAACTTAAAAAAAGAAAATATTTGATTTTTTGGTATGTTATAATTACGGATATTATTTTTCTATTTTTTGTTTTCATTACTTTTTTTATACTGCTTTTGTGGCATAAATTTCTTCAAAATAGTAGCCTGTATATCTAATTAAACTATTTCATATTAATTATTATTTGTGCCTACATACAAAAAAATAAATTAAAATACTGGTTAAAAAAAAATGACCACAGAGAACTATTGGAGGAACAAAATAGAATTTTAAAATATTCTACTTAGTGTCCCCAGAGATATTCAAGAAGTATGATGTCCTTAAAATAAGAACAGACTGCTCTAAGAACAAGGAAAGAGCTCTTGGGGGAAAAAAAAAGTTTAAATGAGCTAGAAGATAAAGTCAAGAAATTTTCTCAGAAAGTAAAAGCAAAGGGCAAAGAGATAGCAAAAGATGAGATTAAAATATATGAGTGCTAGAGAAGCTCTCGAGAAAAGCCAGCATCCAATTCTTAAACATACTAACAAGAGGAAACAGAGAAAAATAAAGAAAATATAAAGAGACCTAAGAGAAAGTTCGAGTTTGGACATGAGCCCCAGTTTAAGAAGTCTCTGTGGGTGTGCTTCCTGGGGAAACCATCAGGACGCTTCAGAATTGCCATGATCTGAAAAGGCAGGTCCCCTCCAAAGGAACACGCGGTATCATGTCCTGCGGCCCCGGGCACTAGGCGATGACAGAAAAGGTCTTCAGCCTTCTGGAGAGAAATGACTTTCACCTAACATATGAAATGCCACCAAACCAACTATCAAGTAGAAGGGGAAAATTAAGTCATTTAGACACAGAAGGAATCAAAAGTTTACCTCCCGCCCATCATTTTGGAGAGTTTGCGTAAAAGGGGGTAGAAGCAAAATGAAGGAGCGAACCAAGAAAGAAGCAACTATTAGTTCTAGGCCAAGGTGAATCCGACCTAAGGAGGCAGAGAAGGAAGGCCTGGAAGAACGGTGAGTGAGCTGGCAGGAGGGCAGCCTGTCCCAGGTTGCAGCAAGTTGAAGGAGAGGCGGGGGTGGGGGTGGGGGAATAGGACAAAACAGAGTCAAGAGTTCAAGGGGGAGAAGATGACTATAAGCCTCAGAAAAAAGGGGGGGAAATGTACAAGAAAGGAGATGGAATCACTGTTGTCTGATGTTCAACTTTTAGAAACAACAAAGTACAGGATCAAGAGATACTGCCGATATTGGGTAGAATGAGAAACAGGTCACTTAGGGGATCTATAGATAGAAGAACTAAAAAAAGTAATCGTTCTCAACCCGAAAAAGTGGGGAAGGGGTTGGGCGGGGGGTAAGGGAGCTGAATCCTCGCCCACCAAAGCAGGATGTCAGCAAACACTGTGCAGTCGGGGCTCAGGAGAGAGGAGCATGCAGGAGCACTGAGAGGCGAGGGGGCGTCACCAGAGAAACAGCCAAGAGCCGGAAGGGGCAAGGCTCGGGGAGAGGCTATGGGTCAGGGGACCGTCACTTTTTATTATTATAAGGTTTCATATTCTACTTAATTTTTCTAGCATGTGCTCGAGATGGTAATAATAATGAGATGATAGTGGTGCCATCCACTCTTCCACTCATCCATTCACTTAACAAACGTACCCCGAGCCCATGCAGGGTCAGACTCCAGGACCCAGAGGCACCTGGAGGACCCTGCCCAGCCCTGGCCCCCGCCCTCCCTCCTGCCTCAGTGAGGGCTCCTCACCCCAGAAAGATGGGGCGGCAGTGGGGCCAGCAGGTGAGGTGAGGCCATCTGGGTGTGAGCACAGGCAGCAGCTGATTTAAAAATAAAGAGGCTCTAGAATGACTACATTCAAATATAAATAATTCTTACAAGAATAGGGACAATGCATTTTCATAACAAATCATCCGAGTGCAATTCCTCAGCATCTGACATTGTCAGGAAAGGGGTCCTTGCCCATGTGGGAATTTTCCGGCTGACAGACTTTAACCTTTGATGGGAGCACTGTCGGGTGGGAATCATTCCCAGATGAATCGCACGCATCCTCAGACAGGGTGCCAGCCGCCATTCGTGTGCCCGAAGGGCCTTAGAGCGCATCCATCCAAACCCCTCCGTTCACAGGCGAGGATTTAACCTTTCCCCGTGCCTCACAGTCTCCACCCTAAGCAGGGCCCCCGGCTCTGGGCTGGAGCCCAGCAAAGCCCGCAGGTGCCCAGGCGGTGTCAGAACCGCTCAGGTCGGAGGCAGGGTTCTGGGCGCTCCGATTTCAGCCCTGGAGGGCCCACCGGCCCTCAGGCTGAGGACTCTGAAAAGCAGGCACAGGGCCTGCTGCTCCCCGGTGTCTCACCGGGCTCACGTGCTGATGCCCAAGGACAGCCCGGCCTCGCCCTCCTCTCCGACTTCCAGTACCACCAGTGCCGACGCTCCCAGGGCCTGGGGACCACAGAGAGGGCAACTGCCATGGAGAGACAGGGTGGTGCAAGGCCCAGAGGGCACCTGCTGGGATAGTTGCTCAGTTCAGGGACCAGGACAGGTGTCCCAAAGGCAGAAATGAGAACTAGAGCCAAACATGCAGAGGATAAAATGCCACCACCATGAGTCATGACAAGGGACAAAGTGTGGGCACAGATCATGGGGAAATATTAGGCTCCTCATTATACCCCACAACATTCAGGCTGAAAACAAAGGGCCCAGGTAATTTCTAATTTGGTCCCTAAGTGGAAGGTATAATAAGGACTATTACAAGCTGAGAAGTGTCTTCCCCAAAATTCATACATTGAAGCCCTAACCCCAAACATCTCAGAATGTGACTGTATTTGGAGATAGAGCCTTTAAAGAGGCAGTTAAGTTAAGATGACATCACCATGGTGGGCTCTAATCCAACGTGCCTGATGGCCTCATAAGAGGAAATCAGGACAGTCACAAAGAAGGATAACGGTATGAAGACAGAGGGGGAAGGCAGCCATCTAAAAGCCAAAGAGGGATAGACTCAGAAGACACCGGCCCTGCCGACACCTTGATCTCAGGCTCCCAGTCTACAGAACTGCGAGAAAATAAAGTTCTGGTGTTTTGAGTCACCCAGCCTGCGGTCCCCCGCGATGGAGCCCTAGCAAACCAATACAGGGATGAACACCAGCATGTAAAAAATACATGGGTAGGGAAATGGGAAGCGACACAGAAGGAGGCCCAATCTAGGGGGTCTCTCCGGCCCCGCTGTGCAGACCTTGAAGGAACTATGAAGAAACTCTCTGTGTTTCATAATTGACAAAATTAATGATTTACCCTTTGAAGACTCATAAGGGTGCTCTCAAGGAGAGAGCCCTGCCTTCCGCTGTGCGACCTTGAAGGGCCTGCAATCTCGGAATCCCGAGAAAAGGTAAAGGCTCTCTGCTCAGCAGCTTATGGATCTGGCTTCTAACTGAGGTCCAGGCACCCGCCTTCGCCACTAAATCCCAGCTGCTCAGTGGAGTATATTGAACACCGATCACATCGTATCCCCTAACACCTGCTTCAACCCCTTCCCGGTGCCCTCAGACACAGAGAAAATGTAAATCTGTCCCACAAAGTCCGGCCCCTTCCTGCCCTGCTAGCGACATTGCTTCCGTTTCCCCCTCTCACACTGGCACGGAAGCTGCCCTGCCCCTGCAGAGCCCGGGACCCAGCAGGCTCCTTCCTGGCTCGGGGCCTTTGCACAAGCTGCTCCCTCAGTCGGGAATCCTCCTGGCCTACTTAACTCCTGTCACTCTTCAGACCAGAGCACCAGTGTCGCTTCCTCCGACAAGCCCTGCCTCACAACCCCTCCCCGCCAGCCTGGGTCAAGTTCCCTGCCACCCCCTTGTCTCCCTAAGTAATCAGTTATTACTGTCTGCTTCCCCTGCTGGGCTGCAAGCTCCGTGGGGCAGGGTGGGACGGATGGGAGGGTGAGCTGCCTCACGGTTCTCCCTAGAGAGGGCATACAGCCGCTGGGTAGTACCGAGACCATAAAAACACAGCTAACCCCAGCTGGACGTTCGGCCTTATCTTGGAAATTTCCTGCAGCCACTCAGCCCAGAAAAGCTGTTGCTGCTGCCCACGATGGTCCCAGAAAGGAGAAGAAGGGGAGGGGAGGAGAGGGAAGAGGCACATGAACACTGTTGAGCGGCCCCTGTGGGTGTGACTATGAACGTGGGCTGCTGGGCTACTACCTGCAATACGGTATTTCGGCTAGTCTTCACGGCAACCCTTAAAAGCGAGGCTGAGTGTCGCCATTTTGGTAGGGAAGAGAAGGCTCAGAGAGGTCAAGTCATTTGTATAAAGATGCAGGGCTGGTAAGGCCCAGCATTGGCTTTGGATCCCAGGTCTGCCTGAGCCTAACGCCTGTGTTCTTTCTATGACCCATGCCGCCTGCAAACCATGTCAAACAGCAAAAGGGGCCGCCGCTCGTGCCTGTGGGCCACGGGCGGCGCTCCAGGGATCACGTCAGGGGCCCGCGAGTGCACGGGAGGGCCCAGCACCGCCTGACTCTGAATAAACTACATTTCTTCCATATCCATATACAACTGTTTTCAAATAAATATGCATCCTGTCACGAGGAACACAACACAAATTCCTCTAAATGAGTTTGCTGAATTCACGGCCTTCCTGGGCGGGAGGGGAGGCCAGGGTAGGCGCACACACACTAAAATGTTCAGCACGGAGTGTGCTTTTTCTCACACAGATTGTAAAACAGCCATCAGTGATATATTGTTGAATGGGGAGGGGTGAGCACAGTTCTTTTGCCATTTATGGGGAAGGAAGGAAGGAAGGGAGGGAGGGAGGGAGGGAGGGAGGGTGAAAAATATCTATGCATAGGTGCCAGTTTTGCACAGACTTTCTGGAAGGATGCACAAGGATACAGGCAGGGGCTGTTTCTGAGGAGGACTAGGGGACTGGGGGCAGGGGACTCTTCACAGTATACCTTTTTTGTACCTCTTGAATGTACCATCTTAAATTTAAAAAAAAAACAATTTAATGAATATAAAAATGTTTTAAAGACGATAGCAAGAAGGCGGAAGGACTGAATTTCAGGTAAGATGCTCCTATGCCCTCTTCGATTTCTATACATGAGAACCGTGATGATAATCTCAGAGACTGGTAATTGAGCCGGAGACTGAAAGGCCAAAGTCACCAGAGGTGACCTTGCAAACTTGGATTTTTTTCATAAAACGCAATCATCCCTGTGCAGCCCTCTAGGGCTCTCCACATGCCAGGGCCCTGGGAGGGAGACCTAATTCTTGCTCTGCCCAGATCCACTGCGGTTCCTATTTCCTTCTGCCCACTTCCCCACCCTGCCCACCACCCGGCCCTGCCCCACCCACCCGTGCGCCATGCACCCACCACCCACCCCGGCCACACTCACATGGACAGCACCTTCACCTCCAAGATTTCGTTCCTCAGCTCCAGACATCTTGTGGAGTTATATTCTAAAGGGCCCTCGTAAAATTCAAAGTACCTGAGAACCAACAGGGACACAGGTTACTATGCAGGTAAACCTGCCTGACTTTCAGGAAGGAGCCTTACTTTTGAGGACCCTTGCTGTGGGGGGAGTCTGTCCTGGTCAAATAAATAGAGCAAACCTGCCCCACCCACCAGATGAGCCAGTGGGAGGCTCCAGGACCTCTGGGGCCTCCAGCTCGATCATCAGGTGAGCGATTACTCACAGCACCCCCACTCCCCTGGGAGTGTAAGCATTTATGGGAGCATGGCCTCATTTCAGCAAATCATGACGTTCGGAAGCAGCTTCGTTCGGTTCCAAGCTGCAAAGGGGAAGGAAAGGAGGCGGAGGCTCTGTGCAGGTTCTCACCCCGGCTCTTCCTGGGATTAGTCATTGCAGGAGGCAGCACGGCGGTCAAGTGGCAAGGCTGCTGCCTTCAGCCAGTCCTGCCCTCTCCTCCCCTTTATCCTCCCCTTGGCAAAGTTACACAGTGACAGCCACGAGCATCGCTGAGACCTCCTGCTTTTCCTACTGTGCAAGCCTTTCCACTTCCGTCAGCTCGCTGGATCCTCATGCTCACACTGTAACTAGGTGAGACTGACACTTCTTTCTCCTCATTTGACAGCTGGGGAAACTGAGGCCCAAAGCTGGAGCTCCAGGTCCCCCTGTCAGTGCAGGGCACAACAGGCTTGGTCTAGGGGTCCCACTGCAGAAGAGCCCAAGCCCCTTCCGACACCAGCCAGCCCGAGGCATGTCTGAGGCCCCTCGGTCCTGGGGCAGCTTCGTGGAAAGTAACAAATCCAATTTCCGCCAATGCTTGCCGAGTCCTTACCACAGGCCAAGTGCTGGGCCAGCACTTGACAGGGAGGCAGCCACATTTGACCTTTATAACTGGCCTACAAGGAAAGGGAGCGTCATGAGCATCACAACAGGCTCTGGGAGTTCACTCACATGCTCAGAGGCATGCACATAGCGGGTGGCAGAGCTGCACCATGAACCTGCACGTTGACTCAAGGCTGCTCTTGTCTTACTTATCTACAAGGACAGCTGGTGTCCCCTGGGAAGGGCCCTCGGGCCTCCCACAGCCAATGGGCAAGGAGACCTTTGAGGCCTCCCCTTCTCACACCAGGGAAGGAAGAGCATCTCCGGGCGGGGGTGGGGGTGGTGGGGGTGGGTCGTCGAGGGCCGAGGTTTCCCTCAAAGATAGAACACAGTAGTTCCCTGCTGGGCTCAGCCAAGGTGCAGCCTCCCAGGGCAGAAGCCAGGCACACCCCCTTCTTGTGGGCTTTGTCTGGAGGTTGTTCAGAAGAGGCAGGGCAGAGTAAGCTGGGAGACTGGACCCCAAGACAGCCTCAACAGCACAGAATCAAGAAGTCGCAGAGTCAAGCCACTCGAAGTGTGGGGTCCGTGACCTAGCAGTAGGTAGCGCTGGGGAATCAGAAGCGCAGAGGCGCCCCAGGGCTGCTCCTGGGCCCTGCAATCCATGAGCGAGGATTTTTTAAAAAGTCGTTCCTCGGGCATTTCCCAGAAAGCTCCCCAACATGTGTCAGCAGTTATGGTGCATGTCCTCACACATCTGACTGACATGTGCCAGCTTAGATATGGGCTGCCTTAGGGACACTAAGTCATTTTACCCAATAAATCAGCTTCTTCTAGAAATGTTTGTATGCTAAACAACTTCTAATTTCATATTGAATACTTTCAAAAAATTCTATTTATAAATATTTATTTTTAAATTTAATAAAAGTTAATAGTTAATTTTAAAGTATTACTATGTATTTAAATAATTAGAAATATTTAAAAATATTAGAACAAAATATTTGTGCTTTAAATAACTTTATAATTTCATAGTTAATACTTCAAAATATTATATTATAAATAATTTTAATATAATGTAATAGTTAATTTTAAAGTATTTTAAAGTAGTTTAAAACACTACTTAAAAATATTAAAACATTTTATACAACAAATTGACTCCTATTTACAAAATAAGCCAGATCCTTGTTCTCTTGTCATAAAAGAATTGAAGAAGAGTTCATAAGAATCAGGCATTTTCTATGTTTCTCGTGTTTTTGAACTCCTTTCTCTGTCGTCCTCCCGCAGCAAACTCATACTGAGCTTTTAGTACCCAGTTCAAATGCTCCCACTTATGGGAAGTCATCTTGACCCTATCTCCAAGGTCCCAGTGTTCATTGTCTTTTAATTAGCACGAATAACTTTGTATTAAAATAGTCTGTTTGTATATCCATGTCCCTCTCCAAACAGTGAGCATGGGAACTGTGTCATATCTGTACCTTCTGAACTAGAGGCAGGAAAGCCAAGAACTGCATTTCCTAGACTCCCTTGCGGCAAGGGTCTAGATGAAGTTCAGGTTCAACCAATCGGAAGCACTTGCACGAGACAGTTATTGGAGAATGACAAGGCTCATAGAATAGTTTTGCTGGTGCCCAATGGGGCAGAGGCTGCATGGCTCTTGGAAACTGTAGTGGTGGCAGCACCTTCATGATTATATCAGAGGCAGCGGCTTTCCTGGTGGCCTCATTTCACAATGTAAGTTGGGAAGGCATTTCTGGAAGGTCTGCCTGGTGTCTTTCTTCAGCTTGTACCCTTCCCTGTCTGGTTGAATTAGTTCAAATGGATTCTGCTGTCTGCAACTAAGAACAAGAGGTCAGCCTGGGGCCACAAAAAAAGTCCCTGACCTTGGCTCTAACTCACGTCGTTTTCCAGTCACACAACAGCAAGTGAGGTCTAGTGTCCTATCACAGAGATCATCATTGCAACCAGACCCAGTGGCACCAAGCCCTTTGGAATCCACCGGGTCACCTGAAGCCGTGATCTCAGGCTGCTATGAGAAAACCTCCTGATTCAAATGATGCAAGAGATCATGAGGAGGAGACCTATCCCAGAAAGCTCGGGGAGTTGGGAGCCTGTGGACACATCTCAGATATGCCTCTAAATCACCTCTGTGACTCTGGGCAAATCATATCCCCTCTCTGGGCCTCCGCTTTCTCCTCCTTAGAACCACCTGTTTGAACTAGGGGATATTTACAGGCCCACTCAACACTAAAATTTGATATTGAGGCTCCCCTCAGTATTTCTCACTCACTAACCGAGGTAGATTGACACTATGAATTGATAGTCCACAAACAGAAGGAAGTTAAAACAGATCAGCACCTTCTGCGACCAGCTAGCCCCTCTGCTGCCTCCACAAGGCCATCTCCGCCTTACCTCCACCACCTCCACTCGGTTACCCTTCCTCTTGAATCTCCAACATCACTCACATAAGGAACTAGGCAGTACAATGATCCCAGACGGTCTTGTGCCACGTGTTTAGTGACTGTCAGGTGGAGATGCTTTCGGAACTGCGTTCACATACCTTCTCTGCCCCTCGTTGGCCACTGTAGGCCCTGCTCTTTTCTGAGCCTGTTTCCTCATCTGTAAAATCAGCATTAAAAATGCAGCATATGTGTTAACGGGGTTAGGATAAGATATTGATGACAGTTTCAGGGAAACAGTAGCACAGTGCCAGGAAGTAGCACAGGAAGTACCCAAGAAATCTTCACTCCCTCTTTCCCCCTTATCCCTGCTGTTAAAGGGCAAGAGCTGAGAGTGGGTGCCCAGGGAGTCAGACACTCGTTTGCTGGTGGCAGAGCTGAGTCAGGGATGAATAACTCAGGAAGTTTCTCCAGTGTCTGGATCCTCCTTCTGCTTCTGACAGGACACCCAAGGACTGTGTTCCAGAGGTAGCCGTGGAAATCCCTGTTTGGTCTGGATAGAGACCATTATGCAGACATCAAAAATGAGGCTTAGCTCTCTGGTGTAGCTCAGTGGATTGAGTGCCCCTGTGAACCAAAAGGTTGCAGGTTTGTTTCCCAGTCAGGGCACGTGCCTGGGTTGTGGGCCAGGTCCCCAGCCGGGGGGCAGGTAAGAGACAACCAATCGGTGTCTCTCTCACACATTCATGTTTCTCTCTCTTTTTCTCCCTTCCCCTACCTCTAAAGATAAAAATAAATGAAATCCTTTAAAAAAATGAGGCTTAAATTTTTGTGTGTAATGGCATAGGAAGAGGCCCATATGATAATATTGAGTGGAAAATGCAAGTTATAAAACTGTGATCTCCAAAAAGAACTATATATACATGTGTGAATGCATGGAAAAAGGGAGGGACTGTAACAAAATAACAATAGTGGCTTTTTCTGAGTCATTTTAAAAATTGTGAGGGAGTTTAAAAACAGTTTTCTGCAATGGGGTTATGACTTTTATTATTGGGAATCACTAGTAAATGCCCCTTTAAGTCCCAGATGTCCCTCGAAATAGCTCTAGCTTCCTCTTAACCTGTTAAGAGGTTGCGAGAAGCCGTTTCTCCAACCTTCTTAACTCCATTAGCCTCTCAAGGTGAGTTAGTCACTGTCTCTTCTTTCAATTCTGGAAAGACAACCTCTATGCAGCTCGAAGGGGAGGGGACCCTGGCATCACATTCGGGCACCTCACTGGTATAAATAGTCCCAGCCAGTGAGATCAGGAGCCGCGCTCATCTCAGATGCCACTCGGTTTCCGGCAGCCAAGTCTGGTGCTGGTGCCAGGCTGCAGCCGTCCTGCCCCCATCTCTGTGCCCCCGGGACTGAGGTGGGCAAGTCTCAACAGCCCCGGCTGCCCGAGCCGCAGGCGATGGCCTCTACGAAGTGAGCAGACGAATGTAGGAGGCCAAAGGCAGAGAGAGGTGACCTTGGTGGTTTCTAACGTGATTCCCCTCCTCCCACCCAGACTTGGGCTCCAGCTTTACAGGCCACAGAGGCCTCCTCTCAGCAGGCCCAGGGTCTGGTGTGCAGGCAGCCTGGCTCTGTCGCTCTGCCAGCCTTTCCCCACACGTCTGCCCCACAGAGGGCCCCCTGTTGGCCTGACACCGCCCCCCGCTCCAGAGCTTCTTCAGGACCACGGGGTCTTCCTTAGGGGCCACAGTACACGGAGCCCTGGCAACGACTGGCTCGCATAGGACAAGGCCCTGCATTCAACTCTCT